GTCTACTTGCACAATGGGCTTACAGTAGGCGAAGCCACGTATACACGGATGAAATGCCCAAAAAAGACGATGGAATATTTGTTTTCCAAAGATTTGGGAACCATTATTTGAAATTGCATGTAGGGTTTGCAAATTTATAATGGTTCCTGGAAGGTAGGTTTTCATTACCAGTATCCACTGTGGCAGGTCGTTGTAAGATGTTTCCCAATTGCCATAGAGCGACTCTATGGCCTTACACTTAGCGATCTATGCTTTACTGTAAGATATTATGTACTTGTATTTTTCAAGAATATGGGCAATGATCACCTTCACCTTAAGTGAGGCGTCTCGGTTGACAAGTTCTCTGATGCTATGGCTAATCATTTTTGAACTGAGCTTCCTATGGTCTTGTGCCATAGACGTGGTAGTGCATGTGTGAGGCCCAAACAACTTACCGATCACCCATTTTGAGTTCCTTTTTCTCAAGGAAGCTCTGCACTTGAAATTGCAGTCTTGTTTCTTACATTTAATTAGTCATCGTTCATTGTCAGATTGATAAACCCAGTAGTCAACACTGTGTGTTATGTGCCAATGTTGCAGACCGAAGACGCAAGATTCCTTGTTTTTAAACTCTATCCAAATCTCTAATTCTTCACCTATATGGTTTGGTATGACACTTCCAAACACGGAGGTTGTCTCATCATGTTCGAAACATATATTTTGCATATGTGCATGTGGGTTGTACAAACTTATTGGTTGTGCGCGAATTGGCTGCGTAGACGTGACAACTATATCTTCATTGTCTTCGTCATTGGTGTCACCAAAAATATCTTGCATCCTGACCTCCTGAAGATCGTCATCGCTTGATTCTCCAACCTCTTCATTTGGTATGAAAGGTTGGTTGTTTTGTGTTGGTTCGTCGTCAGATGTTTGACTCATTCCATACCGGTGTGGTTGTGTCTCTTGCATCAAAAATGTTTCGGCATTGTCTAGTAGTCGGACATACAACTCAATTATAGGTAATTGACCAAACATCATGTGGCACCGAAACAATGCCTCCACGTCTTCATCGTTCCTGATCGGCGTCATTACGTAAGAAATTGTACAGTCGTCTTCGTTAAGTATAGGATGACGATAAATTATCTTCTCAACGCATCGTGCTAATTTTTTTCATTCTATCTTTGAAATGGAAAAAATCAGAACTGACATGAATTTTGAATGCGTAAGTATCTATGTTGCTGAATGAGAATCCAACGGTAGTATTTGTTGAAACAACATCATTAAAGTGACACGTAACAATTATATTTCTTTGAGACATATTTGAAGTGTAAAATATATGTTCTTCTTAATGAAATTTGGAGTGATGATACAGATAATAGGATACACACAATTATATATCACATTCATAAAATGGAGTGAAGAAAAAACTCCCTTTGAGCTCGCCAACTCAAAGGGCGAGCATGGTCACGTGTAGCACATGCTCGTCCACCCACTGGACGAGCACACTCTTGTGCACAAGCCAATTCGTCCACTCAACGGGCGAGTGAGTGATGCATGCTGAAAAAAGTGTCTTGCATGCATGAGACATTGTGTAAGACATAGTCTTACTAGCTTTGCATGCATGCCATTATGTAAGACCTAATAAATATTTCCAAGGCCATGCAAACACATAGTATTGTCACTTCATATAGTCACATTTACACTATCAAATGTAAAATATTCATCTATAAATTCGGATTTACCTCAAGCAAGTTTCTACATACAATTTTATTTCAAACACAAAGCATTATAACATCAACAAACTCTCTTGCATTTCTTGAAAATTCCTGATACTCAATCAAAATGGCATTGTTGTGGATGAGCGATGAACATCGTGGAACACAACAAAACATTCAAGCTAGTGTAAGTTTTTCTCTATTCGAGTGCATTAAAAAATAATGCTTATAATTGCTTGGTTAAATATTATTTCATATCAAAAATAATGATTACAATTGTTTGATTCAATATTGTTGCAGACTAATGCAAGGTTTAGAGTGCATTCTCATGCTCCCATTCAAGCGAGCGCGAGAATAATGGAGTATCTAGAAATAGCAGGTTTTGCTCATATAGCAAAAATAAATAGTCTTAAAATCGACTCAAGCTTAGTTGTGGCTCTGTTAGAGAAATGGAGACCAGAAACACACATTTCACTTCTCAACAGGTGAATGCACGATAACGTTAGAAGATGCAAATATGTTACTTGGTCTCCGAGTTGATGGAAAAACTATCAACGGTCCTACCGAAGTGACAAATGATGTTCACATGGAAAGCTTGGGGTGGAACCTACAAAAGCGGATAAAAACAGAGGTTCTGTTAGGATCACCTGGCTAGAAAATTTATATAAAATTTTAAAAAATAACTCTGCCTCCACACAACAAGAAATTGTGTTACAAGCTAAATTTTATATTTTACTTGTAATCGCCACTATTTTGTTTTCCGACAAGAGTCAAAATCTATTGCATTATTCTTGGATTCTTTTTGTAGGGGATCTTGAAAAATGCGACACCTATAGTTGGGGTTCTGCATGTCTTGCAAAACTGTACATGGAAATGTGCAAGACAACACTCAAGGATGTTAAAAGCATGAGTGGTTGTCTTCTTCTACTCACTTCTTGGGCATTCACACGTATACCATTGTTTGCTCCTGTTAGTACAGTGCAACCCTCGTATCCACAGGCACAAAGGTATTTCTATATTAAAATACACATTTATGTGTATGTAATATATATATATATATATATATATATATATATATATATATATATATATATATATATATATATATATATATATATATATATATATATATATATATATATATATATATATATATATATATATATATATATATATATATATATATATATATATATATATATTTGTTATTCAACTATGCCTAACAATATTATTATTTTTTTGTTATGCAAGATCGGCGCAAAGACAGATGAATTACGATGCTAATCCTCGTTTTTATCTACAAGGATATCAAAACGCATTGGACCATATGCAAGAAAAAGATGTAAGTTTGAAACCATAGAACATAGTTGTCGGTTATACTCCTTAATGGTATTATAACTTTCTTTTTTATGTGACAATTTATATGGAGACCGTACATTCAATATCCGATGCCCAATCTTAGAGATAGCCAAATCTGGACTGCTACAACTTTTCTTATTTGTTTCTATACCGTTGAAATGCATCAAACAGATAGGGTAAAACTCCAGTTTGAATTTGAACAACAAATCCCTTCCCCGCCAAGGTGTTTAAGGGAACACCACGCAATGACAATGAGAAAAACCCACAAAAAGTTCATTGGCGAGAGTTAAACAAGGAGGAGGTGAGAGAATGGAAATATAGAAGACATCTGATTTTGCAGGGGGACATTGTAGTTGGTGAACGCAAGGCAAGCCAAGAGTATTTAACTTGGTTTCGTGCCATTCCTTATGTGCATATTGCTCCAGACCAATTTTTGACCGACCGACGCATGCAAGGATCATCATCAACACAACCAATTGCATCATCAACGCATCAGCCACCAAACTACAAATCTCAATTTGGGGGCACGCATCTTCATCAGCTCAGCATACATATCGACAACAAACTCCTTACAATCCACTACCTCAACAAAACTATAACTACAACTACAACAAACAATATCAACCCCAACCCTACCTTCGACCACCCATACAGTTCACTCCAGTCCCACCGCCCAACTTTGATCAGACAAACCCTCAATTCCAATATCAAACGTTCAACACTTCGTTCTCTCAACCCACCTCCACCTTCACGTCTGATGACGTCTACTACCTAACCCTCCAACAAACCCAGCCTGAAACCTACCCACAACCACCGCAACCATCACAATCATTCCAAATTTTTTTGCTGACAGAGGATCAACTAATGCAAATGCCAGATTTTAACATTGATGATATTCTCGCTGAGCAACCATCAACACAAACAGGACCCTCTTCAAGGCAGTCATACCCCCTATAGTACATCACAATGAAGACATGTCTTCCAACTCATCTCAATCACCTACAACAAATGCAAATGAACGTTTGGGCAGAGGATATCGACAGAGAAGGACCACTAGGTGTGAAACTGGGGGCCATTTTTGATCAAATGTATATGTAACACGTATTTTTATTTAATATATTTTATTGTCGTATTTAATTAATACAACAAATTTTTATTTATTATTATGGTATATTTTTAATTTTTATTTAATTATTATATTAAAACAACATAAAATATTTTAATCTTATAATATAATTTTAATTAGTATTTATTTATTAAATTAATATAGTATAATATTTATTATTATTATAATATATTATTAATTAATATTTTATTATTAAATTAGTATAATATATTTTATAATATGATTTTTATTATTAAAATTATTAAAGATTTGATTAAATAAATAAAATAAATAAAAAAACAAAAAAAACCTCCTTCACGTGCTCGCCATCTCATTGAGCGAGCACCTACGCAATACATATTCCCTTCATCTGCTCTCCACTTCAGTGAACGAACAGGTTCTTAATATAAGGCATTTCTGTTATTTTTTTTTCAACATAGAGTATATTGGTATTATTGATTTCAAAATGATATTATTGATTTCAAATTGCGCACCTTTTTTTTTGATTGTCCATTCGCAACATTAGTTTGAAATTTTGTTGGAGAATTTTGTGGTTGCGATGTAAATTACGCAGGTTCTATTTGGACTTTTTTTGTTTGCTAGTGTGGGTCAAGTAGTTGCAAATCTGATTCTTTCAGGTTGGGATCATAATTAAATAAATAAATAAAAAAAATAATTAAATAAATAAATAAATAAATAAATAAATAAATAAATAAAAAAACAAAAAAATAAAAAAATAAATAAAAAATTTGGAAAAGAAATTTGAAAGAGGAAGAAGGCGCATAGATAGACGAAGAGATAAGCAACTGAGGGAAGTGAGTGTCTGCCAAAGAGAAGAAAATATGGCGATGTCGAGCAGCAGCGTGTCACTGTTGAAGTCTTCTTTCATGGGAGATCGCTTCCTTCGCTCTTCACGCCACCAATCACTTCCTCAACTATTCACTTACAAACAACGTTTCTTCTTCTTCACCTTCCCCATCTTTTTCATTTTTCAACTTCAACTTTCTCTTCTCTTAAATTAACTCATTTTTCACTGCTTTTTACTTCTCACAGGATTCAATCACGTTTCTATGCAGTTACCTCGCTCACTTTCCGGCTTAACCGATTTCTTATTCAATAGGTATTATTTCAATCTGCAACTAGTGCTATCAATTTAGGTTAATCTTGTTTAAAATTTCACATCTTGTGTTTGCAGGAATATCGGTGAAGAGCGTAAACGATTGAGACCTGGAATAATTTCCCCGCGTCGAAAAGTGCCGGAGGAGATAACAAAGCCTCCATATGTAAAATCTAGGGTTCCGCCAGGGATTGCGAGTGAACCTGAAGTGCATGATGAGAAGGGGATAGAATGTATGAGAGCTTCTGGAAGGCTTGCAGCACAGGTTCTTCAATACGCCGGCTCGTTGGTCAAGGTGCTTGTTCCTTTCATTTTTGATCAGTTAATCTCTAATTGTGTGTTTCCTATATACAGTTGTTTTTATGTTAGTTTTAACTTCTGTTGACAGCCAGGTATAACAACAGATGAAATTGACGAAGCAGTTCATCAAATGATAGTTGATAATGGTGCATATCCATCTCCTCTTGGCTACGGTGGTTTTCCAAAGAGTGTCTGCACGTCTGTGAATGAGTGCATTTGCCATGGAATACCAGATTCCCGTTCGCTTGAGGTACTTCCTCATGACTCTGAACTTGTATAATTATTATATATCTTGGGTGAAAAGTTGTTGATACATTCTTTTATTTGCAGGATGGTGATATAATCAACATTGATGTCACTGTTTATTTAAATGTAAGTTGTATTTGTTTTTGATGTCATTGGGTGTTTATTTTGCTTTTTGTTAGGGTTTGGTGGGAGGGGACTAGTTGTGTTCATGGAATTTCATATAGTATGTACTTTACTATCTGGTGTCATTACTTTCTACTCTGCTTACAATGTTTATGTTCTCTTCTCGTGTGATGTTGGAGGTGATGAAGGCTAGGAGTTATTTATCTCTCTCACACACACACACACACACACACACACACACACACACACACACACACACAATGCTGTTCTATTATTTTAAAGCTTAATCCTATGTCAATTTTTGCATGACTATTAATTCATGTAGCATATTTTGGAACGAGTATGCTGCATTAATATCGGTTGTTTTCCTCATTTTTGTTTGTTTTGCAATTGCAAATATATATTAAATTTGTGCTTTGATTTTGTGATTGAACTAATGGATATGAGTTGTAGGGCTATCATGGTGATACATCGACAACTTTCTTTTGCGGAGATGTTGAGGATGAAGCCAAAAAACTAGTCCAGGTACCAGTTTGTCTTCATGCCAACTATGGCTGTGATATGGTGCTTTTGTATGTTCCATACTTCCATGCACCCTTCACTAATTCTGCATTTTAATCTGATTCATTGTTATGATATATGTACTAGTAAACTGTGAACTAGGGTCTTCACTAGTTCAATGGCCAATCCAGTTTTCAAAATATTGGCAGACAATTAATTTGGATTTTAGATTTACTTGTTCTGGAAAGCTAATTATTTTATGCACTTTTTACTTCGGAGTTCATTCTGGAAACACGAGGAATGAATTACAGTGAAGTGGTCTGAATTCCCTAGACATTGATAACAGATGGATTAATGTTATTAACATAATACATGGAATCAACTAGTTTTCTAAGCTTATTCCTGGAAGTTTTGTTTCCCGTAAAATTTATTGAGTAACCTCAGTTTGTCAAATATAGTGATTTATTTATATTTCTCCTGCACCACCCATTCTGATTGTTTTGGTTGTTGAGACTCTTGAGATGCTGTTCTGGAAATCCCTTGTAGCAGTGGGTTTTACCACCTTATATTATTATGATACAGGTCACTAAAGAATGCCTAGATAAAGCGATATCAATATGTGGACCAGGAGTGGAATTTAAGAAAATTGGCAAAACAATTCAGTAAGATGCTCCTATCATTAGTTTTCTCATTCATGCATTTCCTTATTCCACATACATTCAGAACCCTTCTGGCAATAGGATTATGTATAAGAAATGATAATTGCATTGGTTTAGGCCCATGGCCCTTAACTTTACATAACTTAACCAAACATCAGGTTAATATAAACAAAATGTCAGTTTGTATTCTTTGAATAATTCTTATAAAAAATATTCATCCCCACCAGGGTTTAAATTATTTAAGCATGTCACTGAGTTATTAAAGTTTCAACCATTGTGAGTATTACTCTTATGAGTATCTAATGAGTTTTCCCAGAGATGACCCATTCAACCCAAATCTTCATGATAAGTATTGCTGTTTCATAGAAACTATTTATGAAAATGTGCACTCACTTGGTAGGGACCCACAATAGTCAATCTCAACCTTTCTACAAGGACTCAACAATCAATTTCACATTCATATAGTCACACCATGTCAACAGTAACATCTTTGTTCAAAAACTGTCCTAGAAAACCAGAATAAAGAGGGAGCTTGATTCATCTTCCATGTCCTTCATAGTTCCCTCAAGCATACCTCTTGCTCCTCAGGCCTTAGCTTAGGACAGGGTTGAATAATTTAAAAACAATAATTTGAAGGAAACAAAAGCAATATATACACATTTCTCAATATTGTTATAGTATGGGTTAGTAGTTGATGACTGTGATTAAAATTTATTTTGATTCTTGATTAATTATTCATTTTCAATATATTTTCTTTCTTTCTTTAAGTGATCATGCAGATAAATATGGATATGGTGTTGTAGATCAGTTTGTTGGCCATGGAGTTGGACGCGTTTTTCACGCCGATCCAGTTATTCTTCACTTCAGTAATTAACTTCTACTCTGTACTCGTGTCATAATTTTTTTTTTTTGGGTCAAGTAGTCCAGTGGCTGGAGTTCACCCTTTAAAGGTGAACAAGTGGGATGTCGTGGATTCGTACCCGCGCCCCTACCTTTGATGTCTCTGCACAGCTACCAATTGAGCTGACTTAATGGGACGTACTTCTGTCATTATTAGTTGTTAGTTTTACTTCAATTTTATACTTGCAACAAACCCTTCCTAATTTAGTAAATACTTCAATTCTATAATAGTTTACTCAAGGAATATTGAAATCAGCATGTATCTGCTAATTTAAAAAATTATGATAATCATTAACATTTTAGAAGTTAAGTTCAGAAATTATCAAATAATATTCTTTGTAGACTTATGAACTGAAGAAGACAGGTTTGGAAGTAAAGTTATTTCTTTGACTACAGAAAAGTTGGTAATAATCCATTTAACTTTACAAAGAAGTCTTATATTTTATATACCAAAAGGGAAAAGCAAAAGGCCCTGTTATCTTATATTGTCTTTTCATAACTATCAGGAAATATTGATTTAGCTGTTGAATTTCAAACATCTTGTTTGGTTATGACTTTGCTATTTAATATTAAAATGCATTTCATATTCCTTGCTCACGTTTTCTCCAAACCTCAAAATAATTTATTGCTTGTCAGATGTGATATCATTTCTGTCAATGTCTCGACTCACAGTTAGGTTTGTAACATTTATTATTATTTTATCTCCAGGAAACGATGAAGATGGACGCATGATGTTAAATCAAACCTTCACAATTGGTAATTTTTTTCACATTTTTTTTGAACTCATGGTTATGATTATTGTTTTCGGATCTGGAAACTCTGCACGTGTTTTCCCTTGCTCCATGTTGCATGGATTGGGTTTTAATATTACATTACAATATTATTATTATTTGTTAAGATGAGATATGCGGATGATTATTGAGTATATATTTAAAGATGTAAAAATATAGTACAGTTCAGACTAATTCCATGTGTAAAAAAACTTATTGCATTTAATCATTACTCCCTTTATGAAATTTTCTATTTTCTTTCCACTTGAAAATTTCCACCTTTCATAGTTTAAAAAAACACGGCTACACCGCAGAATTTAAATTTGGAAGCTGCTGTATCTGTACAAAAGTATCCGCATTAGTGACATAACATACAGATATGCTGTACGGTATATGTACAACACTTATTTTGAGTAATTGTGCATATTCGCCTTTGAATTTATCCAAGGCTAAGTATACATAGCTTACTAATTTAGCAGAGTTGAAACAGCTAAGATGTGGGTAAGGTGTGTGCATGGGAATCTTATGGAGATTCAACTTTCAAACAGCAACAAGTTTTAGTGTTTCTATCTGTTTTAACTATGCATTGTGGAGTTGGAGGATGGAATATAGAGGGAATCTAAAGTCTAGTCTGTGGAAAGCTTTTGATTTTGATTTCTGACTCCCAAATCCAGCGCTTGGTAAAAATAATGGAGAGTCGACGTGGGACTTAACCACTCGCACTTGAATCCAACACTACCCTTGGTGTTATTTTTTCGAAAGTTGTAAAGTATTATGGGTTTTGGGGGTTTCTTGAAAGTTTATCCTGCTTAAACTTTTTAAAAACCCATCAGTGGCTCATGAATCATGATGTATAAACGAGGATGTGGAATGTGGCATTGTATGAGTGAAAATAATAGACAAGATGGAATTAAAAATGGTAGTATCAGAGAAAGATTTGGGGGTAGCACCTATTAAAAGATGGTATAGTTTAGTTTTAGGTGGTTTGGACATGTAAGAGACTTGTAGATTCAGCAGTAAGAAAAATAGATCAAATGAAGTAGGGCTGAATTGCTAGAGGCAGATGAAGGCAAAAAAAAAACACTAGGCTTTGTTTGGTTGGAGGGGAGGGAGTCATATCCTAAGCTCATTTTAGCTCTTCCCCACAATGAGGGGATATGGAGGAGAGAGAATAATTTTTTTAATTTAGATTTAAATAACCTTATATCTAATATGACATAAAATATTATAAGGGTAAACATGTAAATCTACCTGTCTCCATTAAAATCCCTTTCAGAACCATATACGAAACATTTTAGAATCTATGCCCTCTCTTTTTTCCATTAAAATCCCACCCTCCCATTGTTGAACCACATACAAAGCATTTAAAAATCTCTTCCCTCCATTCAAATCCCACACTTCCTCCATTAAAGTTCCTCTCCGCCCTTTTGTTGAGCCAAACAAACTTTAGAGGCCAATTTGACCCATATGACTGATTCTATTTAGTGGGATATGGTTTTTTTGTTGATGTTTAATTTACAAAAAAGCTCCTGTAACTGGAATATTTACCATTAAGCTACAATTCATCACATTTTGAAGAAATTATGGTTGTGAATGGTTCTCATATATAATATATACATAATGAAGGCTCGAAATTGATCAGGTCTATGTATAGTTGAACTGTAAAATTTCCATTTTCATTCAACTAACTTTTAGAATGGCATAACTCGCCTTTGATAAAGTAGAAATAGATGTTACAATATAGAAATAATTGTATTCATAAACTCGTGACTTGTGTTATTTCATTAAGGAACAATACCAGAGGAGGGGTCAAAACTTTCAAAACTGACTTGGGTTAGTTATTGCAGTTATGTATATTATGTAATTATAATTGTTAATTAGTTATGCTTAGGTTGTAACCAGAATAAATAGGAATCGAATAGTAACTGTCAAGGAGTTATTGAATGTTTGTTTGGATGGGAGAGAACTATTACGCTCTTGAAATAGGGTAGAAACTGTGATTCTGCATTCCCATGATGTTTCCTCCTATGTAGCATTTCCCATGATGCAACAGTGTGGATATATGATTTCTATATCTGATTGAGAGGGATCTGGTTATTCAGTACATTTATTATTGGAAGAAGTTTCTATCACAGGGTTATCATGAGGAAGTCATGCACTTAACGGCGGTTTAATTGTTTTAGTGAAAATACACAGGTCTTGTTATATTGGTAATCATTTTTATTTTCTTACCTGGTAAATTTCAGAGCCAATGCTGACTATGGGTAGCATCAATCCAGTGATGTGGAAAGACAATTGGACAGTTGTAACAGAAGACGGAAGTCTATCAGCTCAGTTTGAACACACCATTTTGATTACACCTGGTGGAGCTGAGATTATGACTCAATGCTGACAGGTGCTAACAATCAACGTCTTTGCAAAGCTTGCATGGAGAAACATAATATTGAGATGCTATTGATTTAATTGCTTCCAGATTCAGATCAAAATTCTTGCTGGAAATTATCCAAGGTAGAAGCATGTGCCAAATGAGCAACAGTGTTGTATTGTTTCTGTATTATATTTATAAGCAATGCTATTTGTTATGAAGGATTTGTACAAGAATGAGAATAATGCATACAGATAGGGGATTCGACCAATCAAGTTTTGGCTTACGAGAAGTGGTGGTTATTATTTGGAAGAGTTACATGCTACTACTACCATTTAGGATTTGCGTGTTTCTTGTCAACCTTCTCTCGTAACAATAACAATATGTACTTTCAATCAAATAGTAAATTTTGTGATAAAGGTATCTACTCTATTTGTCTTAAAAAAGTGTTCTATTTTATTTGTGCTCTATTCAAAAAATGGATAGTTATATTTATTTTATTGATCAAATGAATTTTAATTACTAAAATATTTTTATTAGATATAGTTAGTAGAATAGGTAAGTGGATTGAGACTAATAAATAAGAATATATTAGCAAAATATATTAACATTTCATAGAATTTAAAAATGATAGTTAATCGAGACATGTCACAAATTAAACATTTTTGTGAGACAGAGAGAATATGTCACATGCAATTATTCAACCGGAAAGATTGGAAAATGATATTTTGATTTTATTTGATTTTAACATTATCATGTTAATAATCATTGTGAAACGAGCAAGAAAGATGGAAAAAGTCCTTTCTTGATCCATCATTGAGTGAATTCAAACATTTTAAAAAAGATAATTGAGGAAGAAACGATGAAGGATGCACGAGATATTGAGAAGGTCAAAACACCCGTTATTGAGGAAACAATATTATAAGACATAGATGAATGATGATGTGGAGAAATGATGAAGCAACTCAAAACACCCGTTATTGAGGAAACAATATTATAAGACATAGATGAATGATGATGTGGAGAAATGATGAAGCAACTGCAAAGTTCTTTATAAGATTGGTGACGCTGATTAATCAAATGCAATTATGTGGAGAAATGATGAAGCAACTGCAAAGTTCTTTATAAGATTGGTAACGCTGATCAATCAAATGCAATTATGTGGAGAAAAGATAAGTGAAGTGCATACAGTTGAAAAATATTCTAAGATCTTTAATTGTCAAATTCAGTCACATAGTCATGTCCATTGAAGAGTCTAAAGACTTATGTGAAATGAAACGTGAATAATTTCAAGCACATCTTGAAGCATATGAATTGAGGTTGAAACAATGAAATTTAGAGAAAGTTGTAGAAAAAACATTGCAGATAAAGTTCTTCAAAAAGATGAAAAAAGATACTTTAAAGATTAGCAAAGGGAAATAAAGGTGGAAGAAGAAGTGACATGATGATGGTAATGGAAAGAATTCAAAGAGTCAAGGAGAGATAACAAGAATGATGTTTCTCATAATAAGAAGTTCAAGAAAAAGTCATATATGAAGGATGTGCAATGCTAATGCTATAGAAGATATGGTCATTATGTTAGAGACTGCCACTTTAACAAAGAAGCCAATGGTAATGAGAAGGAAGAAACACAATTTTCACATGCAGAAAGTAGTGACTCTGAGGAGGTCAATTTGATGGCCAAAACAACCCTGACTCAAGACAAAGGAAATGCGTGGTATCTTGATATTGGCTGCAAAAATCACATGACATGTAACAAGGATTTGTTTTATCAAGCTTGATGAATCAATAAAAGACTAATTATATATATGTAGATAATTACATGGTTTTCTCATAAGGGATGAGAAACATTCTTGAAAGGAGAAAGTATGGACAAAAAGCAATCATTGGTGATGTTTTGTATGTTCTTTCAATGGCAAACAACCGAATAAATTTAGGACAATTTTATGAAAAGAATTATTCTATCAGGTTAGAAGTTAAAGAGATTAAGGTATTTAATTCAAGTTATAAGATAATCTTGAAGGCACATCTTTTCAAACAACAGAACATTCAAAATCATGATCAACATGCTAGACCATCAATTTCGTGCACCAACCACTAGTGAAAACCAAAATTGGATAACACACCAGAGATATATCCATTTCAATTTTAGAAGTCACAACTTGATGCATATAAAGAAATGGTGTACAAGCATCCCAAAATAAAGATGCCAAAGTAGTTGTGTTAGGAGTCATGCATATCCAAGAAGGCAAGAAAAACATTTGAATATGATTTGCCTATGAAGTTAAAGCAGAAGTTAGAAATTGTACACTCAAATGTGTGTGGACCATTTGAAGTAAAGTCACTAAAAGTTAACTGTTACTTCTTAACCTTCATAGATGAATTCACCAGATATATGTTGATTTACTTGATGGAGAAAAAAGTGAAGTATTCAACAATTTCAAAAGATCCAAACTATTAGTTGAAAAACAACCTAATTGCGCCATAAAGAAGCTTAGAACTGATGGTGATGGTGAGTACACCTCAAGTGAATTTGATCAACTTTGTGGAAGGGAGGGAGTTGAGCATGAATTAATATTGCCTTACATATCTCAACATAATGGAACTGATGAGAGAAAGAATAAAATCATTTTGAACATGGAAAGAAGTACGCTCAAGACAAAACAAATGCCAAACCATTTTTTAGGGTCAGCTACAGTCCACATCAACAATAGATATTCAACAAAGACGTTGAGCAAAAATAAACTCTATAAAGCTTAGTTAGGCTAGAAACCAAGTGTTGGACATGTACTTGAGTAGCTCAGGAAAAAAGTTAGACGATAAAGGTCAAACCATGATCTTAGTTGGCTACCACTTCGCAGGCGCCTACAAACTATTTCTCACAAAATGAAAAAATGGTGATAATAAGAAGAGATGTAAAATTTAATGAAATAAAATGGTGGAATTGATTAAAAAGAACAAGCAATCCAATGTAAGAAAGTTAAATGCCAAGCCACATCAACACCACTCTACAAGATGACCAAGAAACCAAGGCTACACAAACTCAAGAAGTGACAAGATCAACAAGGGCCAAAACTCTATCAGCTATACTAAATGATTATGAAAGATTCAGTGATTAAACTATAAGTGATAATGCTAAGCTAATTGAAGAAGCCATGATGGCTGAGTCACAGCCAAATGATCACAATCAATCCATAAAAAATGAGAACTGAAAAGGTGCCATGAAATAAGATCTCAGGTCAATTGAGTAGAATAAAACCTGGGAACTGGTCAAACACTCATGAAAGAAAGCAATAGATATAATATGGGTTTGCAATCTGAAGTTGAGGCCAAATGGTGAAATTTCAATGTATAAGAAAAGTTTGGTAGTAAAAGGGTTTCCTCAAAAGATTGACATTAACTTTAATGAAATTTATGCACAATTACCTAGGCTTGAAACTATAATATTTATGGTGGCCATTGCAACATATAAAGGTAGGAAAACGTATCAACTAGATGTGAAGTATGCCTTTCTCTATGAATCATTAGATGAAGAGGTATATGTTAAGCAGCAACTGGGTTTTGAGATAAAAGGTTATAAAGAAATGGTATACAAATTGAGAAAGACACTATATGGTTTGAAGCAAGTACCTAATGCATGGAACAAGAGGATTAATGACTTCCTACCAAAGCTATATTTCAATAAATGCTCATCTGAAAATAAAGTGTATGTGAAAGGATCAATGAGCAAGATCAAGTCATCCTATGTCTCTATGTGGATGATTTATTGGTGACAAGATCTAATGAGGCTGAATATGAAAATTTAAAGGCCAACATGGAGAATAAGTTTGAAATGTCAGACTTAGGATTAGACATACTTCCTAAGAATGGAAATTATAAACACAAAGCATGAAGTTTTCTTGCACCATAAAAATATGGAGAATATATTATGAAGAAGATCATGATGAACAAATGCAAACCTGTAATTACACCAATGGAAACCAACATTCAACTGAAGAAGGAATCAAATGAGAAACTGGTAGATAGAACTTTGTACAAGTAAATCATTGGCTCACTAAGATATATTTGCATCACAAGACCATATATATGTCATAGTTAAGGATAACAATGGACCCAGACCTAATGGGTACCCACAAAAATACCCACTATGAGTAGGGTAAAAACTCGTTAGATGGGTATGTGTATGAGAAAATACTCGTAAAAAATGAATGGATACGAGTGCAAGTATGGGTAATATAATACACAACCCGCTCCATACACGCACACATATTACATTATTATTATGTGTGTGTGTGTATGCATGCGTGCATGCGTGTCATTTCTTAAGTCAAAAATAATGTTTGTGTCAAAATGAATTTTATAGGTCGACTCATGAAAGCCACAGGTCGACTCATACTGTACCACAAGTCGACTCATAACTACTTTTTGCTGAAAAATTCTGCTATTCTTTTCACGAATTTTCTGTTATATTCCCTCTTTCTTACACACACATAAATATATTCATGTATCTATTTCACAAGTATTGAAACCTGAAAATATACAAAGATTGCTCTTCATCTTCATTCTTCTTCTTTGCATACATTCAACAATTACACATAATCATTCTTGTTGAGTAATCTAGATTGAGAGTGATAACGTCTAAGTTATGGTTTGTGAAATCTTAATTGGGTTGGGAATATTTGGGTGTTTCATTGATAAAATTAATTGGGGTTTTCCCTCCAAGATCATGATTGATTTGGGGGTTTTTTGATAAGCGTCTCGCAAAATTGGATTCAACCCAGTGAATGAGTTGAAGACCAATGGGTTATATCAAGAGAGTAGCGATAACCAGAGGATTTTTTTTGGAGACCTCAGGTTCACAAGAAGCTTGCGATTGGATTCAGCCGAGTGAAAGCCTTGAAGAACAGTGGTGTCTATGAAAGGAGTAGCGGTAACCGGAGGATCAATCAGAGTTCATGGGTCACTTAATCTTGCTTAAGATCAAGAGGAGAGAAGAAGATATGATCAACACCAAATACTGAATTTGA